TGTGTTTTTCTTTCTCAGAAGATTATCTGATGTTCTTATTTCTCCTTTGTAGAACAACCAGTTTCTCCAGTTTCTCCACCCTCCACTTATTCTGCCCTCTCCACTTCCAGGATTTACCATATTCAACAACTACGTTTCTCCTCCTTGCCTCCTCCCACTCCATGACCAAGACACAATTCCCCCAATAAATATTTGAACTGGACTCTGTTGCTCTGTTTATTACGTTGAAGCCATTACCTGGAACTAGAACAGTCAAGGACGCACCACATCTTTAATCCACTGTTTTTCAGCTACTGGACACCTGAGTTTCTCCTACAGGGATTAATAAAGTATCCATTGTTCTATGTATCAGCAGTGGAGAGAGACCAGAGAGAGAGAGACCAGAGAGAGAGAGAGACCAGAGAGAGAGAGAGACCAGAGAGAGAGAGAGGGACCAGAGAGAGAGACCAGAGAGAGAGAGAGACCAGAGAGAGAGAGACCAGAGAGAGAGAGAGACCAGAGAGAGAGAGAGACCAGAGAGAGAGAGACCAGAGAGAGAGAGACCAGAGAGAGAGAGGGACCAGAGAGAGAGAGAGACCAGAGAGAGAGAGACCAGAGAGAGAGAGGGACCAGAGAGAGAGAGAGACCAGAGAGAGAGAGACCAGAGAGAGAGACCAGAGAGAGAGACCAGAGAGAGAGAGACCAGAGAGAGAGAGGGACCAGAGAGAGAGACCAGAGAGAGAGAGACCAGAGAGAGAGAGGGACCAGAGAGAGAGACCAGAGAGAGAGAGACCAGAGAGAGAGAGAGACCAGAGAGAGAGAGACCAGAGAGAGAGAGGGACCAAAGAGAGAGACCAGAGAGAGAGAGACCAGAGAGAGAGAGAGACCAGAGAGAGAGAGACCAGAGAGAGAGAGGGACCAGAGAGAGAGAGAGACCAGAGAGAGAGAGAGACCAGAGAGAGAGAGAGACCAGAGAGAGAGAGAGACCAGAGAGAGAGAGACCAGAGAGAGAGAGACCAGAGAGAGAGAGGGACCAGAGAGAGAGAGAGACCAGAGAGAGAGAGACCAGAGAGAGAGAGGGACCAGAGAGAGAGAGAGAGACCAGAGAGAGAGAGACCAGAGAGAGAGACCAGAGAGAGAGACCAGAGAGAGAGAGACCAGAGAGAGAGAGGGACCAGAGAGAGAGACCAGAGAGAGAGAGAGACCAGAGAGAGAGAGGGACCAGAGAGAGAGACCAGAGAGAGAGAGACCAGAGAGAGAGAGAGACCAGAGAGAGAGAGACCAGAGAGAGAGAGGGACCAGAGAGAGAGACCAGAGAGAGAGAGACCAGAGAGAGAGAGAGACCAGAGAGAGAGAGACCAGAGAGAGAGAGGGACCAGAGAGAGAGAGAGACCAGAGAGAGAGAGAGACCAGAGAGAGAGAGGGACCAGAGAGAGAGAGGGACCAGAGAGAGAGACCAGAGAGAGAGAGACCAGAGAGAGAGAGAGACCAGAGAGAGAGAGGGACCAGAGAGAGAGAGGGACCAGAGAGAGAGACCAGAGAGAGAGAGAGACCAGAGAGAGAGACCAGAGAGAGAGAGAGACCAGAGAGAGAGAGAGACCAGAGAGAGAGAGAGACAGAGAGAGAGAGAGACCGAGAGAGAGAGGGACCAGAGAGAGAGAGGGACCAGAGAGAGAGAGACCAGAGAGAGAGAGAGAGAGGGACCAGAGAGAGGGACCAGAGAGAGGGACCAGAGAGAGGGACCAGAGAGAGAGAGACCAGAGAGAGAGAGGGACCAGAGAGAGAGAGATCAGAGAGCGGGACCAGAGAGCGGGACCAGAGAGCGGGACCAGAGAGCGGGACCAGAGAGAGAGACCAGAGAGAGAGACCAGAGAGAGACCAGAGAGAGAGACCAGAGAGAGACCAGAGAGAGACCAGAGAGAGAGACCAGAGAGAGAGACCAGAGAGAGAGACCAGAGAGAGAGACCAGAGAGAGAGACCAGAGAGAGACCAGAGAGAGAGACCAGAGAGCGGGACCAGAGAGCGGGACCAGAGAGCGGGACCAGAGAGCGGGACCAGAGAGAGAGACCAGAGAGAGAGACCAGAGAGAGAGACCAGAGAGAGAGACCAGAGAGAGACTCTGGCTTTGTCCCTGTCCAAATCTGTTCATGTACAAATGTTCACTTTCTTTACTGATATTGAGAAAGACCGAGATGATCGTCCAGTCTTTTCACTCTTATATAACAACAGTTTCAAACGTATATTCATCAGTACAGGTTTGACTTTCCCTCAGACGCCACAAAGATATAATAAACTTTATTGATCTCACAATGGAGAAATGTACATGTCACATTTGGCATAGACAGAAAACATGGGTTTGAGTCCCTGTTTTAGTTTCAGAGGCCCCCACAGGTTCGTGCCATCCTTGTGGCTGAAAAGTTATCACTGACTTCATTTGTGGTCTGAGCGGTGTCTGCAGGGCGTTGGTTGTTTTACATTTTCCAGTGAATGAGGTTTGCTTCATCATTCTAGGAAGTTTCTTGTTTTGAAAGTAATGCAGTTGATCCAGTTTTCACAGATATGTTCTCAGGACAGGTGCGCCGGATCCGACCTTTTGAACTGAAGGCACCTGGTTTCACACGCAGCACCAGGAGCTTCTTTAATCACTACCAGAGACCAGAGAGGCGGACCCCTGGGATCAAGACAGGGACTGATGTGGAGGAGAGACTGTGGTCCGCTGCTTCTGGGTGAAGGACAGCGGGCTGCGTTTGAACTGGTTTAGTCCTGGTTCAGTCCTGCACTGTAAACCCGGATTTTGTTCAAGCTCAGAGTGTTTAGTTGTCATTGCTTAGTCTCATATGTTTTTGTCAAAATTGTTGTGGCTACTAATCTTTACGAGCTGTTTATACTACTTTTGCATGACGCCAGTTTGAAATAATAATGTTAAGCAATACTTACTAAACAAGGTAAAATTACCCAGAGGGGCGGGGTCTATTTTTAAAATGTGGCCTACGTCATCACGTCACTCACTCTGCAGATCACGCACCGTCCTCACTAAATGTAAAATGAAAGACCCATGTTACAGTTCTGTTCTGATGTTGGCAGCTTCAAAAATGCACTACTTTTGTACTGGTTTCTCTGGAAAGCCTGTTTGTAATCTGTTGGTCACAGCTCGTAAGAAAAAGTATTTTTTTGTACACTAATGCAGTGGTTCCCAGCCTTTTGTCGAACGTACCCCTTTGGCCTTTCTTTAGTTTATACTCTGACAACGCTCTGATTCAATGGATCTGCTGATCAGTTAGAAACAAAATGACAAAAATCTAATTATTAAAATGAAAATGTATAACTGGACGGCTAAACACTCAAATCTCTTCACAGGTAAATGTTTAAAAATGCATCTTCTTTGACCATAACGATCAATAATACAAACTGTTGTTGGAGAATGTGGCTGTGTTAGTTCCTCTGACCTGAGACTGAGGGTGAATACTTCCTGTTCCGTTACTCTTTTATTTTGCACAATTGTGACATGAAGAAGAAGGGTCTCCGTAATGAATAGAACAAGAAGTACCTGCACTGTAAGAAGTGAATCAGACCAAACTTTTATGTACAATATTTTAAGTAGTTACTAAATACTTCATTTTTCATTATTGTATATTTTTAGTTGACACATAAGTACTGTATAATATTGTACAATACTGATTTTATTGCTTTGAGTAAAAGTATTTCTTTTGTAAGACAAAACAAATATATTGTGTTGATAGAAAACAAATGTATTGGGCAAAGCAGTGACGGTACCCAGAATGCATTGCGGAGATAAATTCTACATTTGAGAGTGAATATGAAGCAAGATACTTGAGCAACATTTTGAATAAACTAATTTGACCAAATAAGTAATTGTTTTTATGTTTACCAACCGTAATCGACAGGGTCAAGCCAAAGTAAAGCTATACTCCCGGGTCATCTTTTCAGAATGTTCAAATACTAAATAAAGGTCGCTGTGCTTTCATGATGTACGTGGATGAAACTAAGCTCTAATTGAGTTGTAAGTATTTTTGCTTCTCAATCTGAGTTCTTTAGAGTTTAAGACCTTAAGACTAATATATGACTGTCGAATGAGCCTGTATCGTTATGTTCATGGCATTTATGAAACTAAAACGGATAAGTACAAACCATGTGTAAGTTAGTCTAGTGAGCTAATGAGTGTTAATAAAGACTGTTTAATGAACTTTTGTTATGTTTATGCTATTTATAAAACTAATCTTTACTGAGGGAACGAGTTTCCTTAAGAAACATTAGTATTCTCAACTTCTGGTTTACAGTGTGCTCTCTCTCTGTTCTCTCTGCTCTCGCTCTGGTCTCTCTGAGCCTGAACTGTCAAATAGTGACTCACAGGGCTCTTTTTTGCACACAGATAACATGTTTCCTACTAAGACAAAGTCAGCATGTTGAAATCTGTTTTTACACGACTCTTTCTGCTGAAACAAACAAAATGTATCAACGACGAAGGCAAAAATCACCCCAGCTCTCACGGAGCAGTGGCGACACCATGTGGTCAAAACATAACATGGCACCTGAGTAAATATGTGTTTTCTCTTTCCTTTTCATCACTACATTTTCCATAAAAACACATGTGACTCGTTCCGTGCATCTGCAGACCTTTCTCACCAGTTTATATGAGCGTATTATAATCATAAATAATCACAGTGCATTAAAAAGAGTGAATTTACAGGCCTTGAACCTGCATTTGAACTGAGTGCGTAGGTTATTATTCTTACACAATACTATTACTATTTTGATGTATATTGGGGAATCTTTTTTGGATTTATAGACTCACACCGTCACCAACGCAAATAATGGACGTATAACCGAAGATACTGAGTGTGATAAGAGTTCAGTGAGAATCCTCCGCACACGTGACGGGAGCCCACAAACCCCGCGAGACGCACCAGCAAAACCATCTATGGTACAGTTTATGGTCCAAACGCACGGGGCTGGTACTGAACACGGTCTGACTGCCACCTGTGCCTATGTCTGCCTCAGGGTCAAGGTGAAGACCGAGAGGTGAGAGTGAAGACGGAGGTGAGAGTGAAGACGGAGGTGAGAGTGAAGACCGAGGTGAGAGTGAAGACCGAGGTGAGAGTGAAGACCGAGGTGAGAGTGAAGACCGAGGTGAGAGTGAAGCCGGAGGTGAGAGTGAAGACCGAGGTGAGAGTGAAGACCGAGGTGAGAGTGAAGACCGAGGTGAGAGTGAAGACCGAGGTGAGAGTGAAGACGGAGGTGAGAGTGAAGACGGAGGTGAGCGTGAAGACGGAGGTGAGAGTGAAGACCGAGGTGAGAGTGAAGACCGAGGTGAGAGTGAAGACCGAGGTGAGAGTGAAGACCGAGGTGAGAGTGAAGACGAAGGTGAGAGTGAAGACCGAGAGGTGAGAGTGAAGACGGAGGTGAGAGTGAAGACCGAGAGGTGAGAGTGAAGCCGGAGGTGAGAGTGAAGACCGAGGTGAGAGTGAAGACCGAGGTGAGAGTATGCCGGACCAGAGATGACTCATGTGTGATAATAACGCAGTAATTTAACACTGACACAATATAAACACCCACCTCGTGTTTTAATTTAACTTGAAAGTGTACAAGGACAAGAATGGTCTTATTTTAGTCAGGAGACACCAGGGACCCCGCAGGCAGGCACAGGCAGGCACAGCACAGGCAGCTTGGGTCCTAATTGAAGAGGACTCAGGCGAGGATGCGTGGAGATGCCGTTCCTCGTGCGTTACAGGTGATAAATACAGTTTGAATAGTTGTATTTTCTAATTATGTCATTCAAAAGCTAGAGAATGTTTTACAATCCATTATGAAGATGTGTTCAGGCGAAAGTGCGTGGTGATGTCGTGTCACGGCGAAAACGTGTAAATTGGAAATCCTCGCGGCTCCTAATTATGTGACCAAAAGTGCTACACAGGCCTTTGCTGTGGTTTAATGTTTTATCTGAATGTAAACTGTTGCTCTCTGAAGGTCATTGTCTTATCTCCCGCGGTCAACGCTTTGTTAAATATTTAAACTGAAAAACATTTAAAGGTGAGTGACTTTCTCTTGCTTCATGTGTCCGCCAGAGGGAGACAGACTCCATGTTAAACCGGCTGCTATTGCGCAACAGCGCCACTCCACATTGACTTCAATGCACTGGTCAAAGCCGGTACTGCAGGTGGCGGGAGTGTGCCTTCCTCGTTAGTATAGTGGTGAGTATCCCCGCCTGTCACGCGGGAGACCGGGGTTCAATTCCCCGACGGGGAGACCAAACTTTATTATCTTTCTTTGTTTTATATTTGTTGAATTAACTAATTAAACGACCTACATGTGATTAAGTATTTTACCACGATTTATTTGCTTTTGTACAACAGAGTATAAGGCACACCCAATGTGTCTTTATTCTTTTTTTGCATATGCTATGAGATTAAAGTTTTTAAGTTAGGAAAAGTAATCATATTTAAAGCTTATTCTCATAACTTGTGTGGTCTCTCCAGTCTGTGGTTTCTGTCTGTGGACATTATTCTTATCATATTTTAACTTAAAAGTATATCTTATCTTAAGTCGAATATGAGTCTCATAAAGTTTGTTGTTTGCAACAACCAAATCCCTGTGAGCCTTTTGCTCTGGTAGTTGTGACTGAATAATGCTCTTGTGATGATCTCACTGATGTATTTTTTTGTATTCTTTTATCTGAGAACGTGACGCTGTCTCTTCGCCCACGGTCTAAAATCAACGCTTTGTTTAATATTTAAAGGTGAGTGACTTTCTCTCACTTCATGTTCATTCATTCATTTTCTGTCCATTTCTGGGTTGGGGAGGTGGCAATGAGAGCTGCACCCAATGCTCAAAGCACCAGTCCCAGGTTAGACTACTGCAATGGCCTGCTCACAGGTCTGTCCAAACAGGCTGTAAAACAGCTGCAGTACATTCAAAATGCAGCAGCTCGAGTCCTGACTAGAACAAGGAAGTACGACCACATTAGTCCTGACTAGAACCAGGAAGTACGACCACATTAGTCCTGACTAGAACCAGGAAGTAAGACCACATTAGTCCTGACTAGAACCAGGAAGTACGACCATATTAGTCCTGACTAGAACCAGGAAGTACGACCACATTAGTCCTGACTAATCCAATCCAATCCACTTTATTTCTATAGCACATTTAAACAACAGAACAGTTCCAAAGTGCTGCACAAAAAATAGAATAAAAAATAAATAAATAAATAATCAATTTATAAAATCAATAAAAATCGTAAGTAGCAGCAGTCTCTAACAAAAATTTTCAGTCAAATAAAACCCTCATCTTGTCCTACAGACCCGGTCCCTCCGAGGTTGTTCAAAGATGTGTGGGAAACAATTGGTGCTTGTGTTTGTGAAATTGTGAACAATAGCCTTGTTTCAGGAGTTGTCCCTTCCTTTTGTAAACAGGCTGTAATTGAACCACTTCTCAAGAAATCGAGCCTTGATACCTCCATTGTCTCTAATTATCGGCCGATTTCCAAACTTCCTTTTTTATCTAAACTGTTGGAAAAAAGTGTGCTCTGTCAATTACAGCCCTTTCTTGATGCACATGGTGTGTCAGACATGTTCCAGTCAGGTTTTAAAAGTTTGCATAGCACTGAATCCGCACTTTTAAAGGTTTTTAATGACCTGTTTTTAGTGACTGACTCGGGTAGTTCTGCCATTTTAGTGCTTTTAGACCTGACTGCTGCTTTTGACACGATTGACCACACAATTATTTTAGACCGACTCCGAGACAGTGTGGGTGTCAGGAGGACTGCTTTAGACTGGTTCAGGTCATACCTCAGTGGGAGGTCTTTCTCCGTTAGGCTTGGGGACTCCACCTCATCCTCTGCCTTCCTGCGCTGTGGAGTTTCCCAGGGTTCAATTCTTGGCCCAGTTCTGTTTGCCCTTTATCTCCTCCCACTGAGTCAAATCTTTAAGAGGCACAGCATCTCATACCATTTTTATGCAGATGACTGTCAAATTTACTTGCCTCTTTCCAAGACAGCTAAAGGCCCCCTGACAGCCTTGCTTGCCTGCCTGAGTGACGTCAAGGCTTGGTTGGCCCAAAATTTCCTCAGTCTTAATGAGGGGAAAACTGAAATTGTTATTTTTGGGCCCACTGACCCCTTAATGGACTTGGGCCCCTTTAAAGACAACGTTCTCCCCTCTGCCACCAACCTTGGCGTCACCATGGACAGTGATTTTAATTTTACTAAACAGATTAACACAGTTGTCAAGTCAGGCTTTTACCATCTTCGCCTTTTATCTAAAGTTAAACCGTTTTTATCTTTTAAACATTTTGAACAAGTCGTGCATGCTTTTATTTCGTCACGCCTGGACTACTGTAATGCTCTTTATACAGGCATTACCCAAAATGCACTCTCACGTTTACAGTTAGTCCAGAACTCCACTGCACGACTTATTACTGGAGCTAAAAAGCGTGACCACATTTCACCAATCCTCGCATCTTTGCACTGGCTTCCAGTCAAATATAGAATTGATTTTAAGGTTTTGTTGTTTGTTTTTAAAGCGTTGAACGGAAGTACGACCACATTAGTTCTGACTAGAACCAGGAAGTACGACCACATTAGTCCAGTCCTCAGGTCTCTGCACTGGCTTCCTGTGGCTCAGAGAATAGACTTTAAAGGACAACTCACCCCCTAATCCACTTTTCCACTTTTTATTGCTGATAAACAGTATAAATGAGTGTCCAATAGTGTTGTATACATATCCTGGTCATAAATTTGTCACTTTAGTCCAAATTAGTTAAAAAAATCAACTCTCTGCCTAAAACCTTCTGTGACGCGCCATCTGTAGGCGACCTGTATTCACTACATTTGACTTTTGAAACTGGCGCCAACATCGGTGCAGCAGCGATGTCCGACGTCTGCAGCGATGTCCGACGTCTGCGGCGATGGCTGACGTCTGCGGCGATGGCTGACGTCTGCGGCGATGGCTGACGTCTGCGGCGATGGCTGACGATGGCTGACGTCTGGGGCGATGGCTGACGTCTGGGGCGATGGCTGACGTCTGCGGCGATGGCTGACGTCTGCGGCGATGGCTGACGTCTGCGGCGATGGCTGACGTCTGCGGCGATGTCCGACGTCTGGGGCGATGGCTGACGTCTGCGGCGATGGCTGACGTCTGCGGCGATGTCTGACGTCTGCGGCGATGTCCGACGTCTGGGGCGATGGCTGACGTCTGCGGCGATGTCTGACGTCTGCGGCGATGTCTGACGTCTGCGGGGATGTCTGACGTCTGCGGCGATGTCTGACGTCTGCGGCGATGTCTGACGTCTGCGGCGATGGCTGACGTCTGCGGCGATGGCTGACGTCTGCGGCGATGGCTGACGTCTGCGGCGATGGCTGACGTCTGCGGCGATGTCCGACGTCTGCGGCGATGTCCGACGTCTGCGGCGATGTCCGACGTCTGCGGCGATGTCCGACGTCTGGGGCGATGGCTGACGTCTGCGGCGATGTCCGACGTCTGCGGCGATGTCCGACGTCTGCGGCGATGTCCGACGTCTGCGGCGATGTCTGACGTCTGCGGCGATGGCTGACGTCTGCTGTGATGTCCGGAGTCTGGGGCGATGGCTGACGATGGCTGACGTCTGGGGCGATGTCCGACGTCTGCGGCGATGTCCGACGTCTGGGGCGATGTCCGACGTCTGCGGCGATGTCCGACGTCTGCGGCGATGGCTGACGTCTGCGGTGAAGGCTGTCGTCTGCGGTGAAGGCTGACGTCTGCGGCGATGTCTGACGTCTGCGGCGATGTCTGACGTCTGCGGCGATGGCTGACGTCTGCTGTGATGTCCGGAGTCTGGGGCGATGGCTGACGATGGCTGACGTCTGGGGCGATGTCCGACGTCTGCGGCAATGTCCGACGTCTGGGGCGATGTCCGACGTCTGCGGCGATGTCCGACGTCTGCGGCGATGGCTGACGTCTGCGGTGAAGGCTGACGTCTGCGGTGAAGGCTGACGTCTGCGGCGATGGCTGACGTCTGGGGCGATGGCTGACGTCTGGGGCGATGGCTGACGTCTGGGGCGATGGCTGACGTCTGGGGCGATGGCTGACGTCTGGGGCGATGGCTGACGTCTGCGGCGATGGCTGACGTCTGGGGCGATGGCTGACGTCTGGGGCGATGGCTGACGTCTGGGGCGATGGCTGACGTCTGGGGCGATGGCTGACGTCTGGGGCGATGGCTGACGTCTGGGGCGATGGCTGACGTCTGGGGCGATGGCTGACGTCTGGGGCGATGGCTGACGTCTGGGGCGATGGCTGACGTCTGCGGCGATGTCCGACGTCTGCGGCGATGTCCGACGTCTGCGGCGATGTCCGACGTCTGCGGCGATGTCCGACGTCTGCGGCGATGTCCGACGTCTGCGGCGATGTCCGACGTCTGCGGCGATGTCCGACGTCTGCGGCGATGTCCGACGTCTGCGGCGATGTCCGACGTCTGCGGCGATGGCTGACGTCTGGGGCGATGGCTGACGTCTGCGGCGATGGCTGACGTCTGGGGCGATGGCTGACGTCTGGGGCGATGGCTGACGTCTGCGGCGAAGGCTGACGTCTGCGGCGATGTCTGACGTCTGGGGCGATGTCTGACGTCTGCGGCGAAGGCTGACGTCTGCGGCGAAGGCTGACGTCTGCGGCGATGTCTGACGTCTGCGGCGATGTCTGACGTCTGGGGCGATGGCTTACGTCTGCGGCGAAGGCTGACGTCTGGGGCGATGGCTGACGTCTGGGGCGATGGCTGACGTCTGCGGCGATGTCCGACGTCTGCGGCGATGTCCGACGTCTGCGGCGATGTCCGACGTCTGCGGCGATGTCCGACGTCTGCGGCGATGTCCGACGTCTGCGGCGATGTCCGACGTCTGCGGCGATGTCCGACGTCTGCGGCGATGTCCGACGTCTGCGGCGATGTCCGACGTCTGCGGCGATGTCCGACGTCTGCGGCGATGTCCGACGTCTGCGGCGATGTCCGACGTCTGCGGCGATGTCCGACGTCTGCGGCGATGTCCGACGTCTGCGGCGATGTCCGACGTCTGCGGCGATGTCCGACGTCTGCGGCGATGTCCGACGTCTGCGGCGATGTCCGACGTCTGCGGCGATGTCCGACGCCTGCGGCGATGGCCGACGTCTGGGGCGATGGCCGACGTCTGGGGCGATGGCTGACGTCTGCGGCGAAGGCTGACGTCTGGGGCGATGGCTGACGTCTGCGGCGATGGCCGACGTCTGCGGCGATGGCCCGACGTCTGCGGCGATGGCCGACGTCTGCGGCGATGGCTGAGGTCAGTAGTCCTGCCGCTCTGAGGTTTATAAACGGCCCAGTCTCGTTCACGCTACCGTAGTGAGTTGGAGAAGGAACAGCAGAGAGTTTTTTCATCGATTGTCAGGTTTGCGATTAGTAATAGCATTTAGGGAGATTATTATTAGCATAGCTGTTTGTATCATAGATAATTGTGTAGTGTTAATAGTGTTGTTGTTGAATATTGTAGTTTTAGTCATTAGTTGCTTTTATTGTTAGATTAGTTTTACTAGTAACTAACCCTAACCCTAGTATTACTTTTTTGTGTTCTATATTGTGTGCAATTTAATTGTGTATTGTTTATTGTACTTGTGTGTTGTTGAAATGAAACAGGCCCCATTCTGTGGCGGTCTTCTGCCTCCGCAGCCTCTGCAGCATCCGCTCCCCCGGTAGCGCTGCTAGCTCGCTAAATGGATTGGGCTGTGGGCTGCCGTCTGCCTCCTCTCTCAACCTCCGGTGAGGACGGTGGAGAGAAGTCATCCACCTCCAAGACCGCACAGAAGCTGTAGAGCTGGCTTCGCTGTGATTACTCTCCATCTTTGACAGGGCCAATGCTGATGTCAAGTGTCAATCACAGCTTTAAGGGGCGTTCACACCGGACTTAACTTCGGCGTCAAAAGCGTCAGGTTTGCATTGAAAGTGAATGGTGAAGCGCGTCAGGTGAAGCCGAGGGGCCCGGCGTCACTTGACGCGCGTCAAAAGCTTCAAGAGTCGCGCGTAATACGCGCTCACTTGAAGCTTTTGACGCGCGAAACGCTCGCGTATCAAAACAATCCCTTTGACGCCGAAGCTGAGCAAAGCTGAGCTTTTGAAGCTTTGACAGGCTTCAACCAATCAGGAGACGAGGAGCAGCAGCAGCAGAGGGTCTGTCTCTGTCATGAAGAGAAGTCATGTATCTGCTGCTGCTGTTTTATTGTCATTATTGTTATTAGTAATATTATTTGTATGAGTAGTAACGTTCTGAGTAACAAAATCATTGTACACATGCTGTGTAGTAAACGTATTTTATTTAAAATAAGAACAGGCTGACGATGAGTCTGGCTCAGAGCAAGGCAGCTCCGGGCGGGCGAGAGCCGGGGAGAGGCGAGCGAGAGCCGGGGAGAGGCAGGGAGAGGCGAGCGAGAGCCGGGGAGAGGCAGGGAGAGGCGAGCGAGAGCCGGGGAGAGGCAGGGAGAGGCAGGGAGAGGCGAGCGAGAGCCGGGGAGAGGCAGGGAGAGGCGAGCGAGAGCCGGGGAGAGGCAGGGAGAGGCGAGCTAGAGCCGGGGAGAGGCAGGGAGAGGCGAGCTAGAGCCGGGGAGAGGCGAGCGAGAGCCGGGGAGAGGCAGGGAGAGGCGAGCGAGAGCCGGGGAGAGGCGAGCTAGAGCCGGGGAGAGGCAGGGAGAGGCGAGAGCGAGAGCCGGGGAGAGGCAGGGAGAGGCGAGCGAGAGCGGGGAGAGGCGAGAGCGAGGCGGGGAGAGGCAGGGAGAGGCGAGCGAGAGCGGGGGGGAGAGGGAGGGAGGGAGGCGAGAGGCGAGGCGGGGAGAGGCAGGGAGAGGCGAGAGCGAGGCGGGGAGAGGCAGGGAGAGGCGAGCGAGAGGGGAGAGGCAGGGAGAGGCGAGGGAGAGGCAGGGAGAGGCGAGGGAGAGGCGAGGGAGAGGCAGGGAGAGGCGAGAGCGAGGCGGGGAGAGGCGAGAGCGAGGCGGGGAGAGGCAGGGAGAGGCGAGAGCGAGAGCCGGGGAGAGGCGAGAGCGAGGCGGGGAGAGGCGAGAGCGAGGCGGGGAGAGGCGAGAGCGAGGCGGGGAGAGGCGAGAGCGAGGCGGGGGGGAGAGGCGAGAGCGAGGCGGGGAGAGGCGAGAGCGAGAGCCGGGGAGAGGCGAGAGCCGGGGAGAGGCGAGAGCCGGGGAGAGGCGAGAGCCGGGGAGAGGCGAGAGCGAGGCGGGGAGAGGCAGGGAGAGGCGAGAGCGAGGCGGGGAGAGGCGAGAGCGAGGCGGGGAGAGGCGAGAGCGAGGCGGGGAGAGGCGAGAGCGAGAGCCGGGGAGAGGCAGGGAGAGGCGAGAGCGAGAGCCGGGGAGAGGCAGGGAGAGGCGAGAGCGAGAGCCGGGGAGAGGCAGGGAGAGGCGAGAGCGAGGCGGGGAGAGGCGAGCGAGAGGCGGGGAGAGGCGAGCGAGAGGCGGGGAGAGGCGAGCGAGAGGCGGGGAGAGGCGAGCGCGAGCCGGGGAGAGGCGAGAGCGAGGCGGGGAGAGGCGAGAGCGAGGCGGGGAGAGGCGAGAGCGAGGCGGGGAGAGGCGAGAGCGAGGCGGGGAGAGGCGAGAGGCGAGAGCGAGGCGGGGAGAGGCGAGAGCGAGGCGGGGAGAGGCGAGAGCCGGGGAGAGGCAGGGAGAGGCGAGAGCGAGGCGGGGAGAGGCGAGAGCGAGGCGGGGAGAGGCGAGCGAGAGGCGGGGAGAGGCGAGAGCGAGAGGCGGGGAGAGGCGAGAGCGAGAGCCGGGGAGAGGCGAGAGCGAGGCGGGGGGAGGCGAGAGCGAGGCAGGGAGAGGCGAGAGCGAGGCGGGGAGAGGCGAGCGAGAGCCGGGGAGAGGCAGGGAGAGGCGAGAGCGAGGCGGGGAGAGGCGAGCGAGAGCCGGGGAGAGGCGAGAGCGAGGCGGGGAGAGGCGAGCTCCGGGGTTTGAGAACTCAGACTGGGCGAGTGACATGCGGAAGTACCGCTGAAAGCGAAACTCCTCCGTACGCAGCTCCTGGAGTAAATTACAGAACTCTGCAAACACTGCAGCCTCTCAAGTCTGTGGTGAACCCAGAACATGTTTTGTTGAAGCCCTACAACAACGTTATTTTGCTTTATATAACAAATAAAGGCTCGCTGCTCATTGAAAAATCCACCGCTGTCCTGACTACAGACAACAGAGAAGCTCCTCCCACCGGCAACAGAGAAGCTCCTCCCACCGGCGTCAGGCGCGTCACTCGCGTCAAAAACTTCAAGCACCAAAATGACAAAACTATCCCGGCGTCAGTTGAAGCGCGTCAAAAGCTTTTTGAAGCTTTTGGTCTGAACGCGCCTTAAGGCCTGTGTACACTCGCGCGGCGCTGGTTGCGGTTATGTTGAACCTATGTAACCACAGTTGGTGGTACACTTGCATGTTCCCCTTACGGAGTTTTGAGGAGAATGTTGTAATCCCACAACAAACCACATGATGGCGATCTCATGCGAGTTGCCAGAAACCAAAGCGGTCCCATTTACGCTGCTACTTTCTCCTCGTCAGAACAAAAACAACAGTGAAGCTGTTTGAGATCATTACATGTGTTTCTACTGTAGGTTTATGTGACAGTTTTATGGACTCGTTATTTCAACTGTGATGCTGTGAATAAAAACAGTTCTGTTGGAAACATAGTTATTATTAAATAGTTTTCAGCACAAACAGCAAAACAATAATAGTGGTAAATATCTGAGACAAACATGAACAATTTATAAGTGCAGGAGGAAAGCAACAAACGCAGCTACGATTCAAACAAGACAGGAACAGTGCAAAAGTGACTGCACAGTTTATAAGTTATATTAATATGTTAGATATAAGTTATATTAATATGTTAGATATAAGTTATATATATGTTAGATATGCAACAGAACTCTAGTAAATCAGGCTCTGAGCCATGAGCCCAAACTACTTTTCCTTCGGTTCATTCGAAGCACAAAGCAGTCTGCTCCATAGTGCCTCGTCCACGCTCCTGCAGCCGCTTCATGCTTCCGCCAAAAACACACACACGTACCAATCACAGCGGAGCTTGTCTGCCGCGACCCTTACGTAGTTAGAAATTTTTGAGGGTGCGCGGCAGGCTACGTAAGGGCCTTGCGGTGATCCACGCGCTGCGCAAGTGACGTCACCTCCGTAAGCGCCGCGCGACTATACACTAGGCTTTAGACCCGCCCAACATTCACCCCCCGCCAGTCCCCTTTAGTTCTCCAGGATATGACCATTGGGAAGGAGATTTGAAAAGAGAATGTGAGTGACGTAAGCCTCGTGGAGCGGGGTGAGAAGTCCTTTAAAACAGCTCTGCTTGTTACAAGTCTCTCCATGGCCTCGCACCAAAGTACATTAGTGACATGTGAGTGCCTTTTGAACCGACCCAGACACGTTAAAAACTGTTCTGTTTAGCTTGGCATACAACTGAGGGATTTTTATATTTTAATCTTTCTTTTTTATGTGCTCTGATTTGTTATGATTTTAATGTTACCTTGCCTTGCCTATTGCGCAACAGCGCCACTCCACATTGACTTCAATGCACTGGCCAAACCCGGTACTGCAGGTGGCGGGAGTGTGCCTTCCTCGTTAGTATAGTGGTGGGTATCCCCGCCTGTCAGGAGTGGGCCAGCCGCGTATAGTGGGCATATCGTGCCAGCCAATCAGAATGAGCCTGTCAGCCACGTGCCTTGGTTGGACTTCATCACAAATCAAAATGCAGGGATATTTACAGACGCGAGTTCGAAACCCGTCTCACCCCAAATAAATCAAACTTATTTAAACTGAAACTCTATTTTCTATACAGATTGTTTTGTCAAATACTACTGTTGTTTTCCCTGAAATATGATCAATAAAAAGAAAGACTTCAATAATGTATGACATTATAATATATTTATTGTGAACAGATGAAAAAAGAGATTTACACATTTAAGAAATACACTTAGAAGAAAAACAACATACTATCTTTATCTTCTTAAACGAGTATTTGTGTGATGAGCCCTGTGACTGTGACGGCTGAGAGCTGACTATACAGAACTGTAGATGCAGACTTTACAAATGAAATTATATAATTAGATATAATCAATATTAAGTATATATTTACATAATAATTAGAATATTTATAAACATTTATGAACAGACAGGTATAATATAGTAACTATATACAACAGCACCAATAGACAGCAGATTGCTGGAACTGGTCCCAGCTCATCTGCGTCTCCATCCCCTGGTCCTTGTACAGGGAGAATACTTTGGCAGGGCAGTAGATGTATTTCCCTGACAGACCAGGGAGTTGTGTATGAACGTGAGGACTGTTTGGTCCCTGCTTCAGCTGCAGTTTGCAGAACCCGCACTTTCTCCCAGTGGCAGGAGACTCATCTCTCTTCCTTTTCTTCTCCTGCCGCTCATTCACTCTCTGCTGCGTGGCCTCCAGCTCTCTCTGGTAGAACTCAGTGTCCATAAAGTCTCGGAATGGCATCCTGGAGTTGGTCAAACCCTCTGTGCGATACATGTTATAGACCTTGGTGGAGCAGTAGAAATACCTGGTAGGACCCTGCTGGTAAAAGTCGTGGATGGAGCTGCCATTGCCCTCATATTTGGATTTTGGCTGGCCACAAGACAGGCATTTCTTTGTGTGGGGTTTATTGGCTGGAGGCTGCTGCTGCTTTTCCAAGATCCGCTGCACAACCTTCTCTATGGCCTCCTCAGACAGCGGTGACATGAGAGTCTGAGCAGGAGGAGGGGGTTCACTGCTGCAGGGGGCATGGTGACAACAGGCACTGTGCTGGTCTTACTGCCTGCTGTGAGCGAGTGCCAAAGTGTCTGCGTTTGTTCCAGCTTTTCTGGACTGGTGTTGAGTGAGGAGGATGCATTGATCAGTTTTGTGTTGTGTTTTACATATTGTGAAATGTGTAGTTTGGAGGTTGGGTGCAGCAGGTTGTTGGGGTCTTTGCTTGAGTTGTGGACCAGAGTGGCATACTCCTGATCCACAAGCTTCAGCATGTCCTTGTGTTCTTTTGAAGGAGCCCATCTATGGCAGTTTTCATTGGAGCACGCCAGCGTCTGTGGTCCAACACAAAGACCCTCCCTCCAGTCTTTACAGGTCCAGTCCGTGCACCAGCTGGAGAGGACTTGATGGGCAGAAGTGTGGGCTCTAAACAGAGAAAAACACACACATGATCATTCTATTCTACCTCTTTAAACAAGTTCACTTTGAGTAGTGAGAATTTACCTGACTTTAGCGGAAGCTCATTCCCGGGAACAGAGCCTGTGGCTGTGTCAGAGTCAACAGGGGCCGGTCGAGGGAAATCAGCAGCAGTAGAGGAGACGGCAGCAGTGGTGGTGGTAGGAGCAGCAGAAGAGGGAGACAGCAGCAGTGGGGGTGGTAGCAGCAGCAGAAGAGGAGACAGCAGCAGTGGTGGTGGTAGCAGCAGCAGAAGAGGAGACAGCAGCAGTGGTGGTGGTAGCAGCAGCAGAAGAGGAGACGGCAGCAGTGGTGGTGGTAGCAGCAGCAGAAGAGGAGACAGCAGCAGTGGTGGTGGTAGCAGCAGCAGAAGAGGAGACAGCAGCAGTGGTGCGAAAAATCACAGTGACGCGGCCAGGAAAGAATGAAAATGTCTTCATATTGTCTGCAACAACAAAGAAAGATCATAAAATATCTAGCTATAGCATGATAGAGATGTATGTATAATGTATATATCTTTAGCATAATAAAGAATAAAATAATTAAATTTAGCATAATAAAGAAGCATGAATCCTGTATAATCTAGAGAAGACATATACAGTTGTATGTTTACATCTGGACATTAGCAGCATGAGGCTCTGGGATACAGTAAGTACAGTTATAGAAGGAAAATATGAACTGGTAAAACACTTAATACATTGTCGTAAACTAACTGCATATAATTCATTTTCAACTCAATGTGTTGCTGAACTATAGAAATGTGAAATACATATAGATAGTACACACATCAACAATAAGCATACTGTACACTACAGTACAACAGATGGAGCAAACACTTATTTTGGCATCATGTGAATAACAGTACTATGTCTGTAGACAATAGTAAGTGAACAGAGAAAGAGCAGTGACAACACTGAGCCAAACTCACAGCAGCACTTATACACAGCCTGTTACAACAACTATGTGCATTAAACTTATTAAAAGTGCATTTGATCTGTATACAGTGTGCTTTAGCTCACGTGTGTACATCCCAAAACACCGCGTTAACTAGCGCTGGAAATACTACTACAACCAGACGTAAACAAACTGCATTACTGTATACAGTAGAATACAGTGAATACAGATTGTTTGACAACGCAGAGAAAGTGTTTTCTTTACAATATTGATCCAAACAGAGATCTACGAGCAGCAGCAACAACAAACATATGACACGGAGGTAAACAATCATAAACAGCGCACTACACACTCGAGATTTAAACTACAGACGTGTGTGAACGATCTACGCACAATATGAGAGATTTATGGAGTGAAACATAAAGAACGAGCACAAAAACATTGGGCCTCATTTACGAATAACTTCGTAAGAAACTACTCAACTTTCTTCTCAAGTCGTCCTTAAGTAGATTTCTAAGAAGTCCCCACGTGGGATTCATCAACGCACTCGTAAGCCGCTGAATTGTTCGCAGCTGTTCTCTCAGATTGATGAATCCCATTTCCTCGTAAATACAGCGCGCGTGCCAGGTGCTTCATTACCATAGGTCAGGGGTGGCCAACCAGTCAGAGACTAAGAGCCAATTTGTTTTACCGTGTTAAGCAAAGAGCCACATCATACAAATGTGCACTACATAAACATCACCCCAACCCTCACACACACACACACACACACACACACTCTGTCTGAGCAGAGAGATGTGCTCTGCTCAGACAGATTTATTGTAAATGTCATCAACATGATAATGACAGAAATTGACTCGTACAGTACTAAAGGGCTGGACTCGACTCTCCCTGGTTTGCGGGCGCTTCCACCGCTCGCTTCAGCCGCTCCCCGGTACTTTTTTATTATGGTTTGGCCCTGGTTCTAACTGGGAGAGTCGATACCAGAACAATTTCACGTCAGCGAACATCAATTATGATTCCGAAATGAACGCTTTCAATCTCTAACCAAGAAAAAAAATCCAGTTTCAACCCAGTGTTCAGCAGAAACACAACTGTCTTTATCGAACCATGATTCACTCTGACTGTGTTTAGTAAAAGATATAGATTTGACACATAACACCAACACCACTTTAGCTGATTTAGAACCACAGACACATGTTCAGTATAAGACCAGATACTTTTGCATTTGATTGAAGACAGACACTCACCAGGCAGAGTTAGCTTATCTCCTGTGTAGCTGGTGCTAGCTGGTTTTAGCATGTTAGCCGGTGTTAGCCGATGTCCGTAAATTTAATCCATTTGGTCAAACCACCTCCAGACTTTTCGGGTCTGCCTCTACTTCTGCTGCTGCGATCTTTCATTTCACGGTTGTCACTTTTAAGCTTTTTAACTTTTCTCTGCATTGTCATGTTTGTGGGAATCATTCTGCTCCGTCCTTAGGGCTAGCACCACAAACACCTTCTGGTTTCTGGTGGAACCATCAAGCTCACGCTGGTGTCCTCTCCTCAAACTGAGGAAGGTGTTGCCCTCATCCAGCGATCAAGGAATGGTTTTCCGTACGGACGTCATGGGTCGAGGCAACGTGTTGTTTGTTATGATATTTGCAACAGCTGAGGCAGCAGCTGCAGAGGGATTGACAGCGCATCTGACCAATCAGAATTGACGTTCGCCGACGTCAGATTGTTTTGGTGGCCCGGCTAGTGGAGTGAAGTCGGCCTTTACTATGGGTCAGAACTACATAGAGAATGAATGGCAGCGCCACCACTGAGGCGTTTTTGACGCTTGTCATGTGAAAGCCCGAGAGCCGCACGGAACAAGCCAAAGAGCCGCATGCGGCTCACGAGCCGCGGGTTGGCCACCCCTGCCATAGGTACTTAGCATAAGTAACCGCCCATTAATGCCCATATAAGGGACTGCAGGGCCGTGTGCAGACGCCAGAGGAAACAGCAACAGGCCTAAAGCAGGCTTTTGCCAGACTGAGAATAAAGTTATAAAATGTTGACTTAAAAGTCGAAATATTATGATAATAAAGTCGAACTAGCAAAATTATGAGATTAATCTAAGAATATGATGAGATTAATCTCAAAATGTTATGAGCTTAATTTAAAAATATATTATGTATTATTTTAAAGATGAATCTCAAAATGTTTTGAGATTAATCTCAAAATATTTTGGACCCTGGGAGGAGATCCAGCGCGGACCAGCGCTGAGACCAATGCAGACCCGAGGAGAGACTGGAGTGACCAGCACACAGAAACCAGCGCGGACAGGAGAGACCGCATAGACTGGAGTGACCTGACTGGAGAGACCGGTGCGCAGAGACCAGCGCGGACCGAAGAGAGACCGCATAGACCAGACTTGAGAGACCAGCGCGGACCCGTATGGATCCAGGAGCATGCAGCACGGACCCGTATGGAGAGACCAGTGCAGACCCGTATATGGGAGAGACCAGTGCAGACCCGTCTAGATCCATGGGAGAGACCAGTGCAGACCCGTCTCCATAGGAGAGACCAGTGCAGACCCGTATAGATCCATAGGAGAGACCAGTGCAGACCCGTATAGATCCATAGGAGAGACCAGTGCAGACCCGTATAGATCCATGGGAGAGACCAGTGCAGACCCGTATAGATCCATAGGAGAGACCAGTGCAGACCCGTATAGATCCATAGGAGAGACCAGTGCAGACCTGTATAGATCCATAGGAGAGACCAGCGCAGACCCGTATAGATCCATAGGAGAGACCAGTGCAGACCCGTATAGATCCATAGGAGAGACCAGCGCAGAGACTCAGCGCGGACCCAGTAACCTCCTGCAGCAGCAGTATATATGCCGTTGTTCTGTGGCCCGTGGATAAAGAAATGCCCCCTATAAATAGGAAGGGGTCACTAATACACGGCAAGATTTCCAATGTATTTGATAAAGCGTTGGCACATTTCATTTCAAAATGAATTAAAAAGTAGGCCAGATCTGCAGTGAAAAAGGCGGTATATAAATAAAGATTACTACAAATAAATAAATACATACATCGATATGACGGACATATCACTGGAATGTTGTATTTTTATTAAACTTCACCAAAGAGGACAACCCCGGCGTGTGAACATGTCGGCACTGAATGCGTACGAGTGCTCCTGAGGACTCGTAGGATTTGTACTTGCCCAAGACAAATTCTGGTTACGAGAAATATTCGTGAATGCCACTTTCTTCGTAAAAACCGCGTAAGTAGGATTTACGTACAAATCTGTTCCTAAGAACCGTTCGTGAATGAGGCCCATTGTGTTTATCAGAGGAGACTTACCGAGTGCGTGTGTAATCCAGAATGAATGGAGAATCTTCTTCTTCTGTTGTTTTATTGGCGATTGGCATCCAACTATCCAATTCAGGCTACAATCTTCCCATTAGTCTTGTAGTCTGTAGATATTTAAAAATAGCACTGAGCACCTTTTTAGATGGATTCTGAAGTAAATTAAAAATTAGCGTAATTGTTTGTTCATTTTCTTGAATTAACGCGCACAATGGATTAGCACATGTTCAACAGTCTCTGGCTCTTACAGTAGTCACAAAGTCCAGTAGAGTGTTTTCCTATCCTAAATAACGAACTGTTCAGACTTGTGTGACCTATTCTCAAACGCATGATGGCTCTCTCTTCCTTTGTGCTCCTGCCCCGGGATTTATATGGACCCACATTCCGCTGTATACCATATAGATGCCGCCCAGTACCACAGATGTCCCAATACTCCTGCCAGACCTTCTTCACATGCTCTTTAATTACAGGTTTTACTTCTGATTTACTCAATGCCACATCTATATTAACTGAAGGGGATTTCAAAGCATCTTTAGCCAGCATATCGACCACTTCATTACCCTCTACTCCAACATGGGC